GTGCCCTCACTTAGTCTCAATCACCTGTTTTTCTCCAGAGTTTGGCTTCATGGCAGGAGCAGGCCATGCGTCACTGCAGCATTTACTCATCCACAAAATCATGCTAAGAGCCCAAAGTTCATTTTAAAATATTAGTTTGTCTCTTTGCACAGATGCCTCCTGTGATAAGCCACCTTCTAGCAGAAGAACCCCACAGAGTTTATACCATTTCCTTTTTTAAATCTAAATCAATTTCCAAACCAATTTAGATGAATTGTGACGGGTTCTTTGGACGCAAGGCCCGAGAATAGAACTTGACACAGATAAGATTGATATCCTTCATCAACCACATAGGCTTTGGCATAATAGCTGGCTTTAAAGTACCTCAATAAGCAAACAGTGCATTAGCACCAGCTATGCAACACCTTCCACGTTGCACAACGGTGTTTGTGCTGGTGTGTTATTAAAAAGCCAGGCAGTGATTGCACCCTGCGTCAGCTCAGCTACAGGCAAAGCGTTGCAGGCACAAGTTGTTGCAAGGCACTTGGTAATGCCTCACGCAGCCTGGGAAACGGGGCGGCAACTAGCTGGGGATGCTGATGCAGCTGAGAGGCCGGCAGGTACCCCAGGAGACTGACACTGGCTGCAGTGATGTCGTGGCCAAGACCTGAAGAGCTGTCAGCCCAGGCAGCTCCTCACACCGCGTGTGATTGTGAGCTGCGCAGAGCTGGTTATGATAAAATCAGATTACTGTCTTTTGAAAAGCCTGTGGGGATCAGAGTTTCCAGGTTCCATAACAGACCTGTTGGTTCAGGAGCAAGTCCGAGCCCGATCCAGCAAGGACAGGCATTTCAATGAAACTTCTAATTCTTTGCTGCTGAAGGAAAGTGGAATCGGGGCTTTACAAGGCGTTTTGTTCACAGACTGCAGGAGCGCTAAGAAGAGGAAATAAAACAAGTCTCTTGCTTTGTAACACCATCCAGTCCACAGGCCAGTGGCAGCTGGGTGGTAGTTTCCCACCTGTGCCTCCCTCCGGGTGCCTCGGCAGCCATCCTGCAGCGGGTGGAAACACACGTGAGCGTGCTTCTATCTGCTTTGGTGAGACAGACTCCGCTGGCTCACAATTTGTTATCTGATGCTAATGTTTCCATTGGGTATTTTCACTTACTCTCTAAAGTTGTGTTGGGCATTGTGCCTACTTTGCCAGTGATAAAGCAGGCACGGGGATGCATCACACTGAATGCAGCAAAGAAGAGTGGAAAGTGAGCACCCCAACTGAGTCACAAACCAGTGTGAGACAAAAAAACCCTCTCCCTTATTTTCCACTTGTTGCATTCCCCACGCAGGCTTCAATTTCATTTCCATATCTCTCCCTCTCTGTTGCACATCACCTCTTGTCTGCTTGTCTTCTACGGAGATGGCTTTCTCTGTATTTACTTGAAAATTAGCAAGGATTCAGACCTGAAGACATCACAGGTGCTCCCACTGTGTCTTTTCTTCGTAGCCTGAAAAATACAGGATAAAACCAAGCAGTGACAGAACTGAGTGGCCTTAGCACACCAGTGACCACACTGGCCTGCCATTTGTGAGATGTCCCCGAGCAGCGTGTGGCGAGGAGCTGCTGTGCTGCTGCCCATCTGCCTGGACACGGTCCCTCAGCCACCTCCCTGTCCTGATGTGGCAGATATCCCCCCATCCACATGGGAGACAGCACAGAGCGCATGTAATGCAGGCAGGAGGAAACCAGGCTGAGTGGGGAGAGCACATGGGGGATTCACCTATGGCTGTGTAGGTGCAGAGTGGCACAAAGAGCTGAACTTGCTCTGCTGACTCATTATGGTCCTTCATCTTTTGGATGTTGGGGGAAGCTCTTCACAGAGAGAACAGTGCTGGAACAGGCTGCACAGTGAGGCTGTGGATGTTACATCCCTGGAGGTGTTCAAGGCCAGGTTGGATGGCAGCGTGGTCTAGCACCAGATCTGGAGGTTGGTGGCCCTGCCTGTGGCAGGGGGGTTGGAACTTGATGATCCTTGGGGTCCCTTCCAACCTAAGCCGTTCTTTGATTCAAAGCTTCACCTCTACTTTAAAGGCACCCAGTGCTTCAGGTGTCTCCTAATGATAATATATAGCAGTAACATTGTGTCAACTGTTCCCACCTATGAAGATGTACTTCCACATACACCTCATGCTCTTAATCTGGAAGAGGCCTAGGGTCAGGTTTGACAGGATGCTTAAGTATCCGGAGGTGCAGATAGATGTCCACAGGGCTTTCTGTACACAGCAAAATTGATGCATTCAGAAGGAGGATAAGGAGTGAACTCATGGAGGCCTACAGCTTCCTCCTGAGGGGAACTGAGGGGAAGGCACTGATCTCTCTGGTGACAGTAACAGGACCTGAGGGAACAGCAGGGAGCTGTGTGAGAGAAGGGTCAGGTTGGGAATCAGGAAAAGGTTCTTCACCAGAGGGTGGTCAGGGCTGGAACAGGCTGCCCAGGGCAGTGGGAATGGCACCAAGCTGCCAGAGTTCAAGGAGCATGTGGACAATTCTTTCCAGACATAGGGTTTGAATTTTGGGTGGTCCTGTGTGGAGCCAGGAGTTGAACTCTATGATCCTTTTGGGTCCCTCCCAACTCAGGATATTCTATGATACTACAAATACAATTACATTACACTTGTATTTTTGAACACCATATTCAGTGGTCTTTGAGGAGCTGGGTCTATCTTTTTGTCGTGCTAGTGCTGCCTGGCTCAGGGAACCAAACCAGCATTTTTTTGCTGGGTTGGATCTTGCCTAGAATAGCTCAGACTGCCATGGGACTGCGTCCCTTACGCTGGCCTCTTTGCTCCCTCAAGGTATAGACCTGATGCTGCTAAAGGTGGAGAGGGTCTGGGTGCTGCAGAAATACCCTAGAGCTCCTTGCATTGTAGCCTGAAGTCGGAATCATACGTGCTCTGGTCACCTCTCCTAAAATTCCTTAAAGGTAGCAATGTGTACCAGGCCGAGGCTTTGATTTGTGGTCAAACCTTTGGAAAGCTGTTGTAATTCCTGTTCCGTGGACTCTTCTTGCACTGTCAGAAATATGCAAAATCCTTGTTTTGTTTCAAAATACGAAACCTGGTTTATTTTGAATAGTTTTCTCATTGAGTTCTCTGAAAGAATTACGACTGACAGACTTCTTTTTTTGGTCTCGCTCCCATTCACCTTACAGCATGCTTTCACCTTTCAGAGCTGACTCACTTTTATTTTTTAATAAATAAACAGATGAGATGATACTTAATTAAAACTCTTGGAGTGAAGGTGGTGATCATTAAAGGGTGCTGATGTAGAGAGTGATCTCCTCTGTTTGTCCATAGAAGTAATCAGGTTTGAGCAGTGGGTGTTTTGCCGCTGTCCTACCCAGGGAAACTGCGTCTAAAGCACAAGAGGTTAATTAATTCCCTGCTCCTTGGTCTCTCTTCCGAGACTGCCAACAAAGGTAGCAATTACTGGTGTTATCTCAAGGGATGTTCTGTGAGGTGGATAATTGCGAACTGTGAAACCCAGCTGATACTCGGAGCAAATTTCACGCAGGCCAGAGAACACACGTGGCCTGGTCAGCGGTAAAAGAAAGTTGTTACCCAGACTAAATTTGTGCTAAGACCTTGGGGCAAACGGCTCCGTATCCATTACAGATACCCTGAACCAGCCGGTTGTTTGAAGAATTAGCTCTACCCAGCCGGAGCCAAGAATGTGGAACGTGCCTGAAAGGGCAAGAAGGTTTGCGCTTGTCTTTTTTTAGCTTTTTTTTTTTCTGAGGCAACTTCTGGAGCATAGTTTATGCTTAAGATTAAAAGCGTGTATGCCGTTGTATTTGTTGTGTAAGAAATAGAAAGCCATAGCAACGCAATTGCTGCTGTGGAAGGAACCTGCATCAAAAGAGATAGACAGCTCAGAAATGTGCAAATGCCCGGGGGAGTTACGGCAGTTGATTCCTTCACCTAACATTCAAGGGTTCTATTACCATCCAGCACTTGAGCACTGAAACAGCAATCTGAGAGTTTAAAAGAAGAGCTGAAAGCAATTGACTGCTTGAAACCACTTCGTGGTGCGCTGTGGTGGATTTAATAGGAGTTGCACTGAGTTTGCTGGCACTTCTGAATAAAAACCAAATGTTTTACTCATGCGAAAAGCACTTTCAGGAAGAAGTTACGGGCACGTTGTACAGGGTTTCGGCCTTACGACGGTGAAGTGCATTGCTCACAGCCCCGGGGAGCATCTCCTCTCCGCAGCTGAGGCCTGGCGCTGGCGGCCTGCTAAGCCACGGTCAGCGCCCTGCAGGAGAGGGCAATCCTCGCAGACAGCCGCTGGTCAACTCGGCCTCGGAGCGGGGAAGGACAGACATTATTCCCGACGCTTCCATTTCCGATGAGTGGCGAATGGAGCGGCCGCCAGATGCGGGCTGCGCCGTGTAAGGGTGCAGGCGGTTCTCGCGGCCCGGTGTCACCCCGGGATGCCTTCCTCCCAGGGGCCCGCTCGAGGCGTCCCTGAAGGCGGGGGCGCACCGCTTTCTTTCCGTTCCTTTTGTTGATACAATAGCTTTCCCGTCCTTATCAGCCCGGGCGCTCGCGGAGGACCGCGGGGTCGGCCTTCCCGGAGAGCACAATGCGGGGCGGGGTGGGAAACCTATTTCCAGCACAAACGGCGGGCGAAGCGCCGTCGGTAAAACGCGGTTCCTCGTGTCCGCGGCCGCCGCGTCCCTCGGGGGCCCGGCTCGGGCTCGGGCTCCTCCCGGCACGAGCGCCGAGGTCGCCGCCGGGAGAAATTCCTGCCGAATTCCTGCCCCCTCCCGCAGGAGCCGCGGGGACGAGCGCTCGGCGCCGGGCTCCCGTCCCCGGCCGGGGGATGATCCCCGGGGGGGCGGCGGGGAGCCGAGGCCGCGTCCGCCCCGGCCCGCAACCCAGGGGGGAGGGCGGAGGACGGAGGGCGGGGGCCGGCCGGGCCCGGGGCGGGGGGCGGCCCAGGTAGCTCTCGGCGGGCGGGCCGAGGAGGGGAAGGAGGAGCCCCCCCCGCCCCTTCCTTCGGGTTGCGCCCGGCGCCGGGGGAGCCCCGCCGCAGCCCGAGGTGAGCGGCGAGCGGGGATGCTCGGGGCCCCGGCGGGAGCCGCGGGACGGGGCTCGGCGGCGAGGAGGTAACGCGGGCGGCGGTGCGAAGCCGCGGGGGCGGGGACGGGAGGCACCTCACTGCCGGGAGCCCGCAGCCCGGCCGGCCGTCGGGGCCGGCTGCGCCGCGATGAGCTGGGGAGGCCACCGCGGAGTTGCGTCCTCGCGGCTCCGGCCCGGTGACGGATCGAACGCTTTCTCCAAGTGTTTTCTCTGGAAACTTGTCTCAAATGAGGGCAGCGAGCCCTAACAAAGAAGGGTGTTGTTCGGGAGCCAACAGGTGACGGAGTGAAACCTGAGCGCGTGTGTACATTGGAGTAAAGTCTGGCTGCTGTTTAAAATAGAATTTAAAAAAAAAAATCAGTGGGAGACTGTAGAAGGCGAGATTTCTTTCTCGCTAACTCCGTGCAGCCCTTAAGGACGGGTGGGCATTTCCCGAACGCGCTGTCCCCGCGGCGCTGCAGGGCTCCGCCGGGGGGCGAGGGGACGAGAGTTAAGGGATCGCTCCCCGGCTCCGCCTGGAGGTGCCGGCCCGGTGCGGCTGTTCGCACCTGGAGCCGCGTGTCAGTACGGCTCTGCGGCCGCGGAGCGGGACTGCGGCCGTCCGAGTAACGTGCGCCGGGAGCAGCCGTGCGGAGCTTCCCGCACGGTTATCGCTGCCGTGTGCCGCCCTTCCTCCCCGAACGCGGGTTGAGGCGGGAGGGCTGCGCCGAGCAGGTGAATGGGCTGCCAGCGCTAATCTTAAGTCGCCGAGCCTTGGTTGTGAATGGGGGTGTGTGTGTGTGTGTGTGATATGCATCTCGCATCCCCTATTGCCTTGTTAACAAGCGTTCTAACAATAAAAGTCGTTAAACAATTTGCCCTGCAGGACGGGGTAAAACAGCAGGGGGTGGGCGAGGAGATGTTTGTCTAACCGTGCTCGCAAATCGTGACCTCTCCTATCTGGTCAGGGGTGACAGCAGAGCATAATCGGTGAGCTGGAAATCCTCGCACGAGGATAACCTTCCTCCGGTGTCTGAGGGCTGTGCTCTAAGTTTGATACCCTGAGTTTTGTGTGCTGGTGGGTTTGCAGTTGGGAGCGCAGTTTCTCTTTGCTTCTCCTTCTGAGAACTTGGTCCTATATGGTCATTTTTAGTACATCAATGGAAAAAAATGTCATAATTGCTTTTCTTTTTAAATCAAATTTAGCTGTTTAACTCAGTGATGTTATTCATAGCTGTCAAGCTGCCAGCGAAATATCTCCTTGTAGGCTAGGAAGCTTTTTTTTGTGAGGTGGTATTGGAGCAAAGCTGAAACCTCAGAATGTTCCGCAGAATTGAAAAAAGCAAACCAAAACTTGCAGTGTTATGTAGATGTCATGGCATGAGAAGAAAGAAGACCACCTTTCTACTCATCCCTCAGAAAGCACTTATTTTTTCAGCTGTTGTTTATGTTCATCTGAATCCTCCTTAGGATGCAGTCGTTTCAAACAGCTTCACTTTGAAGAAGCGGTGCAGTTGGGGGGTGGGGAGGAAGAGCCTTGCAGCTTGAAAATGCAAACCAAATTACACTTCAGCAGGAAAGGAAGGAGAACTTCTAAACAAGTAATTGCTGAAATAGTTGGGCAAATAGCTTGCTGTTAGGCTGTGCTGTTTTTAGAAACCTCGCTGTCAGCAGCAGCACAATATTTGCAGCATGGCCATGCTGCTTTATGGTGTATTGTCAGCCAGTTTATAGCAGGCTCAGTATTAGCACTATGGTAACCTTTTTCTTTTAAAGTGAACGCTGTCCTTTGTGTAATCTGGACTTGTTGAGATTTATGCACCTTGTTTTGAACATTGCCAATCACCTTATTTCGGGAGGAGCACCCTGATGGTGAAGTTGTTTCTTGCAGCTTGAGGTCAGGCGTGTTGCTCCTTTATTCCCTACCATTTGTACTGCCAGCCCACTCTGTGTCACAGGAAGAAAGGGCCTGTGGATCTGCCCTGTTCTGCCCAAAATGAACAGGTAAAAGTGATCCAGGCAGTGTCAGTCTTGGTGAAGAAGGAGAGTGTTCCATCTCTAATGAAAGCCTTTTCTTTGGAATTAGGCAGCTATCCCGTGTTTACGTACCTTTGGTATGCTTGAAATCCTAACAGCACTCAGTGCTGCTTTTTGCCATACAGAAGTAGCACGTAGCCTTAGTGCTCAAAAATCCCCAGGAAAGCTAGCAGGTCTGCACAGGGTCACATTTATTTATTTTTCTTGTCAGCTGGAGAAAGCAAGGCAGAGCAGTTAACCTGTGATCCCACAGAGAGGCTTTGGAGCAGTCCGTGTTGAGCAGTTACCCGGTGTGTTGGTGCCCCAGGACTGCAAAGCTGACAGGCTCTCCGGCTGAATGTGATGTCAGGTTTGCTCCTTGCTGCCGTGGTTGAGGTCAGTCTGCCTAGTGAAGCTTTGACAAAGGTGCTTCATCTTGTGGCTCCTTTCTTCCATGGGGCAGGAGTCAGCTTCTGAAAAGCGACAGCTTGATCAGCGCAGCTTCTCGTGACACAATGCCAGAGGAATTGGAAATATCAGCTCAGGCCTCAGTGAGAGGCGTTTGTTGTAAACCAGCCGTCCAGCTACCTCTGATGGGGAGTTGTGAGGCACCGCTTCTGCTGTTTGGGGCTTCTCAGGAGGACTTGAGCTTCTCATTGATGCCCGTCATGGTGATGGCTGGATTATTATTCAGACTAACTTCAGAATTATTGGAAGTTAGATGATGTGGAGCACAAGATGCCGACCCAGCCCTAGCATCGCTGTCCTTCTGTAGTAGGCAGCATTGTTGCTTTTTTTGCTAGTGGTGATTTCTTATACCCGTGTGACAGTATTCTCTTGTTCCTCCACCCCCAGCCTTACAGGAACTGTAACAACAAATGTACCTGATGGCTGACTTCATTTCCACCAGGGTGTGGGCAGGGACACAGTTTGGTATCACTTGCTGTCTTGTTACCTGTTTCCGAAGGAAATTAACTCAGGAAGTTTAGTATGTACAAGGATGTCTGCCTTTGCATTTTAAGTATACAGGATGGAGCTTCTAGAGGCTTTTTCTTTGACTCCAGTCATACACTGCATTTTCAATAGACAGTCCTTGACTCTCTATCCTTGCTTTTATAACAGTATGTAAGACAACAGAATTCAGTTAATGTGACTGATCTGCTAATGCTGTCCAGTCGCTGGACAGTCACATTTTCACCTAGAGTCCGATTGCCAAAATATGCCTGAAGTCTGACAAGCTCTGTAAGAAGCAGCCCGTTTTTAAAGGGAAGGTTGGCAGGTCTGCTTGCCCCGTAAGATATGCAGTAAGTTTTTTCTTGCAGTGTGGCCATGCAGTGTAATCGTGCGTTGTCATCCTAGCAGCACACCAAAAAACAGCACCTCTGTTTTCAAAACAGAAGTTTTGGAGCAAAGTGTGCTTTTTTCAAGCACTGGCTGGGGGTAGCAGTGAAGTCATCTCTTTTATTGGGTGTGGGAAGGTATGAACATACTAAAAGCAGGGATAGGCAGAATGTATAGTAGCAAATATTGTCATTTCTCCGATTTGCTGACTTCACATGCGTGTGGCCATGTTTTTTTGAGAAGTCTGGGTCTGCGTGTTGTACTGAAGAAGCAGAGTGTGGCACTCACCAGTGCCTTGCGCATAGAGGAGAACGAGCCCCTGCTTCCTTCCTTTCCCCTGCAATCCAGCAGCAGCTTGTTTGCTCTAACATGGTGGTGATGGGACTTGCAGTGTGGGTTGCTCTCCCTGTAGACCCAAAGGTTATAAGTGGAGGACGTGATGTTTTTCTGCAGTTTGCCAGCAGCCTGCATCTAGCCATGTCACAGTTGTGTCTCTGTGAAGGTGGGTAGGTGAAAAAAGTGCTTAAAACAGAAGATGCAACTCACGCATGGCATAGTGTGAAGGCAAGCTCGTTTTCAAGCTCAGGTGTTCAGGATGTTTGTCCTGGCAGAAAACATCCTCTCTGGTTTTGGTAATGTGTATTCCACTGATATTTCCTAAGAACTCCTGCTAGAATGAATGTAAGATATTTATCTTAATAAGTTTTTTACTGCAGAAAGTTACAGATGCCTTTTTTGCCAGTTGTGAGTCAAAATGATCCCACTGATATTGGGCTTTGTAGGCTTCATGAATCAACAGAAGCATCTCCCTGTAGGGTTTTAAATTAACAGAACAATCATGATGTATTTTACAGAGCCTAATCTGCCATAATTGGATTTCAGATATTTAACTGGACCAACACCCTTCCGCTCTGATACAGCTAAAACAAGGAATGTTGCAGACACTGCTTTATGCCTGCCGTGTTAAAAACAGGATGCTACTTGCACAGCTGTCTCTCCCCAAGAACTTCATCAGTTTTTGACAAGCAGTTTTCATGTGTTCTGTATTATTAGATTAGTAGTGACTTCAGAAGGAGCTCGTCTTGTTCATTTTGTTAATGAGTCTTGAGTCTTTTCTATCTCTGTATACACTACATGTGAAGCAGGCAGAAATGTAAAAGGTGGCTGCTAATACTGAAATAGATGTTGGCTGTCAAACATGGTAGTGGGTGTCTACTTTTCTTTCCCTTCAGTAAGCCGCATTTTCACTTTTCTCTTTTGTTGTTTTCCTGTTTTTGAGAGCTCTTTAAATATCTTTGAATTGCTTGTTGCAGTGATGCTCTAATAATCGTGCTCTGGCCGATGCAAGGAATACTAAACTCTAGTAGGATCACTTGTGTTGATAATCAGTCTTTGCGTGTTGAAGTTTATTAAAGCTCTGTTAATCTCTTTCTGCAGATCGACTCCTTGATGAACTGCAGCTGAAACATTGAACGGCTCACACTTATGTCCCTGGAGATGGAGCCCAAAGCTAACAATCTTGTCTTTGCGTGTCAGCGAAGCTCAACATCAGATGACGACTCTGGCTGTGCCCTGGAAGAATATGCCTGGGTCCCGCCAGGCCTCAGACCAGAGCAGGTACCAGCTGTTGTTCTGTGTTTTTAAATAACTCATTAGGTCTGTCTAAGGGAGCAGTAGCCAGTCTGTTACATTCTTGTATTATAAAAACATCTAAAACTCATCACCTTGTTTTGTTTCCCACTCCAAAGAGGCTGCCTTAAGGGACCTTAAAATCCTCAACACTGCATTTATATTTAAACAGACAAAGTTGTTCCCTGTCAGGATTTTTCAATAAATATGTGCCACAGAGACAGATGTATTGTTGAGTCTTAAAGTAGCACAGAAATGTGCTTTCTCTTTGAGGTAAGTTATTAGGTTAAATTGAAACTCATGTCATACTGTGATATTTGGTCAGTACATAACTGCAGTTGTTCCGCTCTTCAAATAATTTGGCATTTGACATCGAGAATGTGGGCATTACTACAGCATACAGAAGTGAAAGTATTCTGTCACTGTGACAATCACAAATGCATTTAGTGCTTTTTTAAATTGTTGTATGCCTGCCATTTGTTCACACCAGGATTTCTCTTTTACCTTCGTTGTGGCCAGTGCCTGTGGGCTGGTTGGGCTGTGCCTTCCCCTCTCCCCTTCCCTCTGTATGTGTTATGTCACAGTGGCAGCAGAAATAAAAGTAGATCTACTGATGAGAAGGTTGCTATGGGAAGTGAAATTGAACCTCTGATAGCATTCATTTATTTGATATTGCACTGAAGCTATGCACTCAGTGAGGCCCAGAGCTCAGATGGTATTAGGTAGGCAGAGGTGCTTCTTCACACTTGTTGAGTGTGGCAGAGCCACCCACTCTTAGGCAGCTGCCAAGCTCTTGGAGCCCACAGGGATGGAGATGCAAAGGATGTATCTTCCTTGCAGTGCAGACATTTTCTTGCTAATGAATAAGGTAAGATCAGCAAGAATGGCAAATGATGGGCTATTTTTAGGGAAATTCTCTTTATTGCTCGCTTAAGCATATATAAGAATCCTGATGAATCAGACCTTAAGGCAAACAGCAAGCTAACTGTTCTGTCAGAACAATTAAATACATTACATAAAGTATCCCCATAATCTAGCTAGATTCAAACTCATTATATTTTTTCCCTTAAGAAGAATGACTTAAATTGAGAACAGGGCAAAAAGCTGAGAAAAGGGCATAAAGTACCTTTAAAGTTTCACTTTGTACTGTGTGTTTTTACCTTTTCCTGCAGCTTCTTGAAATGCACTCAGCACTAAGTGGGCTTGCAGTAGACTTCTGATGTTAAGAAATTTGGCTAAATGAAAGTCAAATAATATTTTGTGCAACCTTTCCCATATGATTTTGATTGCTTCCTGAGTCAAGTGACTGATCGCTGCTTCTTTTTCATCTGTCTTGCACAGTAATAAGCTGTTGACCTAAGCATTATTTACATCTGGATGGCAAGTAATATTTTTGCCAATAGTCGGCTCTTGTTTACTGCCCCAGGCCTCGTGACAAGCTGGAAACTGCATAGGAAAAACAATAAATCTGCAGCCGTTCCACACAAATATTTTTTGCCATTGGGCTTTGTCACAGTGTTCATTACAGTTTTCCTGTCATCATTTTCTTCTGGAAAGAAAAAAAAAAAAAAAAAAAAAAAGAGTGAAGATTGATAGGCGTGTACAGCTAATATTGATTTCTTTATCAAAACCATGCAGCCCGTGCAAACCTCACCGTTAATTTGCATCCGATTGAAATGTGGCTGGATCCAGCCTCCTCCCGGGGGAAGGATGTTTCCACCTTCTTACCAAAGGCCACATGGAAGCAATGAAAGCTGATGCTTTGGGTGAACCTGATCAGCAGGAGACTACAAAACAGCTTTTGTCTCAGCAATGTGTAAAATGCGCAGAGCAAATTAAATTTGTTTATATAGAGGCTGTTTTCTGGAAAGCTTCGTGCCCTGTGTGGTAAATTGCAGAGGGAAACTTGGAATTTCAACAGGGTTGTTGACCAGCCCTGAAGGGGCTGGGAGTAATGAGAACATTACATGTGCATAATTTACGATACCCCCTAATTGTCACTGCAAATTGCATTCCAGAAAAGCAATTCAGCAGCTGGGTGCTAGTTTTATCAGAGGCGAGCCAGGTTTGCTGAGTTGGTTCATCAGGGTCTCGTATTTTCAGCACAGGCCCTGTCACGGGTCTAATGTAGCATAGCCTGCTTCCTTCGTAATGAGACCTGAGATAAAACAGTAGCTGAAGGGTGCTCGGGTGCTGTGCGTCTCCTGGTTTGACTTCCCATTCCTCCTATGTAGGTACAGCTGTATTTTGCCTGCCTGCCAGAGGAGAAGGTCCCTTATGTTAACAGCCCTGGAGAGAAGCACAGGATTAAACAACTTCTCTATCAGCTGCCACCCCACGATAATGAGGTAAACGGAACCAGGGAATGCACAGTCAGGAGTGAGGCCTTGCTTGCCTCTTCCACATGGAGAATTACCTGACTGTGTATTTATTACAAGCCTGAAACTTCTCTTGTGCTGGCATCTGACCTATAAACCAGCCTGCTGTGTACAGAGTCTGGTGTCTAACTGCGTTTCACTGGTGTGCAGATAAGAGCTGTCTGGGAGGACGCTGCCTTTTCTTGTCGGGAAGGTTGGTGTCACTGCAATAAACTTAACACAAGTTGGCTTTATAGTGTTTGCAGCCACCCACCAATTACCAGGAACCTACAAATTCTTGGGATTTCATTGTAGCACACAAAAAGGATGCTTTGTGACAGTGAAGGGTTTGCATCTCAGATATGCGGTGTAATTTGGAGTAGAAGTGGAAATAACAAACAAGCTGTTTGTAAGAAAAGGGGCGGGGGTGTCAATGCTTAAGATCCTGTGTACTGCAGTGCTGAGTTGTAGGCACTTCACCGTAAATCTAAAGGATGTTGTGGCTGATTCAGGCTAATTCCATTGTTTTAGGGCAGCAGCAGTTTCTTGGTTTGGCTTTTTTAAAGTCTTATTTCTTGTCTGGACAACTGTTTAGTTAAGCATGTTGTTGTTGTTCTTTTTTTCTTGTAACTCAAAATTTCTCTCTGTGCTGTGCTTGTGTTATGCCATAATAACTGAATACTAAGACTGTAAAGAAGACAAGCTAGAGAGCTTTAATGGTGATGGCCAGTATTCCTGATATATTTTTTGCATGCTATATGCTTATTTTTTGAGGTGTTCTTTTAAAAGCTCGGGATCTAAAGTAAAGTTCTCCTGCCTTTTCTCTGGAAGGTGAGATACTGCCAGTCTTTAAGCGAAGAAGAAAAGAAAGAACTGCAGATGTTCAGTTCTCAGCGCAAAAAAGAGGCACTTGGACGAGGCACTATTAAACTCCTCTCGAGAGCAGTGATGCATGCAGTCTGTGAACAGGTAATACTGCTGGAGCCACAAGGCCAGCACTGGGCTCAGTGATATATAACTACAGTATCCCAATAGTAAATGCAGTCTTATTTCATCTGTGCCTGAACACACACAAAAAAGGGATGTTTTTGAAATGGCACATAAATAGAATGAAGGTAGTGCTTGCTTAAGCAAAAGCAAAACCTTTGATACTAGCAATGAACTGAGTCTTTGATGTACATTCTACTGTCGCTGACTCGCACTGAAATAGTGACAAATGAAAAACAGGCATTTATATCAAAATATTGCTGGGTATAAAATAAATTTCTATTCACAGAAGTTTTGTTGATGCACAGAATTTGTCTAGCCCAAAACCTAGGGTTTTTTTTTTCTCTCATCAGAATGTCAAAATATAATTATTTTCTCTAAAATTTTTCTCCCTTCCAGTACTTGAATGGAGCGTGTAAACAGAAGGGGGAACAGCTGTTTACATGGATTGATAGTGGTAGGACAAGGAGGAATACGTTTAAACTAACGCAGGGGAGGTTTAGGTTAGATATTAGGAGGAATTTTTTCACACAGAGGGTGGTGACACACTGGCACATGTTGCCCAAGGAGGCTGTGGATGCCCCATCCCTGGAGGCATTCAAGGCCAGGCTGGATGTGGCTCTGGGCAGCCTGGTCTGGTGGTTGGCAACCTGCACATAGCAGGGGGGTTGAAACTAGATGATCATTGTGGTCCTTTTCAACCCAGGCCATTCTATGATTCTGTGAAATAAAGCCTTTGTGTTGGGTGTTGGGCATGGTGTTTTAAGCTAACAGTCTGTGATTGGAAGCACGTTCACTTGTTGGTTTTTGTTCCCAGTGTGGTACAAAAATAAATGGCGGTGAAGTTGCAGTTTTTGCCTCGAGAGCTGGCCCTGGTGTGTGCTGGCATCCATCATGCTTTGTATGCTTCACGTGTAATGAGCTCCTCGTTGACCTCATCTACTTCTACCAAGATGGAAAAATTCACTGCGGCAGACACCATGCTGAACTACTTAAGCCTCGATGCTCAGCCTGTGATGAGGTAAAATTCACACTTTGCATTCAATCCTCCCACCTGTTACTGTTCTGTTAACAAACTGCATCGTTTGCTTGGGCAATCACTAAGAGCAGATGCGTTCCCTCAAGCAGTAAGGGCTGTGGTGCATAGTGGTGTTTGAAAGCTGAGAGGTGTTTCATTTTTTGTCCAAATGGCAATATGACAAGCAAAGGGATTGTATTTAGAAAGCACATACCTGCTTGTATTTAGAATTGAGTCTTGTAGATTGAATTAGGTAAAGAATCTGTAGAGATATTTAAAAATGTCATCATAATAGCAGCTATTTGTTGAGTTCTGTGACCTCGTTTAATTTATTGCTTTAAAAAGTAGTTTTTCTTCTTTCTTTGCTGTTTAAAAGATCAAAATGCCACAGTAACTACAGGAAATTGCTGTTTCTGTCACAGTACTCAAAAGCCAGTTAAAGAGAAATAACTTCGATGTGCTAACTGTGCAAGTAGGATATTTTGTTTGCTCTGTGTCCTGAGGTGAGTTTTTTTCCCCACTTCCATTAAAGTTCATTTTTATCTCTTGAAAGATAATTTTTGCTGATGAGTGTACAGAAGCTGAAGGCCGCCACTGGCACATGAAACACTTCTGTTGCCTCGAGTGTGAAACAATCCTGGGTGGGCAGAGATACATCATGAAGGATGGGCGCCCATTCTGCTGTAGCTGTTTTGAATCTCTTTATGCAGAATACTGTGAGACCTGTGGGGAGCACATTGGTATGTATGTCCTTTTTAGGTCTTAAACTTACAAACCTGGGGAAAGCCGATCTGAAAAAACAAAAATACATTCCGGAACTGTGGATTCTGTAAGTAATTTCTGAGAGAACCCAAAGTATTGCTGTTTCTCCCTTTCTAGGTGTTGACCATGCTCAGATGACCTATGATGGACAGCACTGGCACGCTACAGAGACTTGCTTTTCTTGTGCTCAGTGCAAGACCTCTTTGCTTGGCTGCCCTTTCCTTCCAAAGCAAGGGCAGATCTACTGTTCAAAAACCTGCAGCTTGGGTGAAGATGTTCATGCCTCCGATTCCTCTGATTCAGCATTCCAGTCTGCTCGATCGAGAGATTCCAGGAGGAGCATTCGCATGGGAAAAAGCAGCCGCTCGGCTGACCAGTGCCGCCAGTCTCTCCTCCTGTCCCCAGCCCTCAATTATAAATTTCCTGGTCTTTCAGGCAATGCTGACGATACGCTTTCTCGTAAGCTGGATGATTTAAGCCTTTCAAGGCAAGAGGCAAGCTTTGTTAACGAAGACTTCTGGAAAGGAAGGGTAGAGCAAGAAATGCCTGAAGACCCTGAAGAATGGGCTGAACATGAAGACTACATGACTCAACTTCTTCTGAAGTTTGGTGATAAAAGCCTTTTCCAGCAACCTGCTGAAGTAGAGATTAGATCAAGTGAACACTGGATTTCTGATAGCATGGTCAAGAGCAAGTTGGACTTGAAAAAAAATAACCCAAGCCTAGCAAGTAAGAAATATCAATCAGACATGTACTGGGCCCAGTCGCAAGATGGTTTGGGTGACTCTGCGTATGGCAGCCATCCAGGCCCTGCCAGCAGCAGAAAAATCCAGGAGCTGGAGTTGGAACATGGGGCATCAGGATACAAACATGACCAGACACCGTGGTATGGAGGTTCGCTTGAATGTTTGTCTGATCTGAAGCAGCAAGAACAAAGCGTTCGGGACTCGATGGATTCTTTGGCTTTGTCTAACATAACAGGTAATGGCAGGGGAAACCGAATGGTTTTGATGGAGAGGTCAAATCAAGCAAGGATGTTGTATATTTTGAAACAAGCTTATATCTGTGATATTTAAAAAGCTTTCACAGCAAGAGATATACGTAAAGTAAGCAATAGCTTTTATCAAGCACATACTCTTCCATGAGATTTATTTATGCTATTTAAATTCTATTTAAATCCTTTTCTGCTTAAATTTTCTCTTTGCTTATAATGACAACAATATAAACAGTGTTAAGGAGACAACATAAACAATGATAAGCAGAGTAAAAGCGGTCTTGAACTCTGCATGTTATATACAAACCACTGCTTCAAGCAAATTTTGTACCTTAAGTACAGGAAGTTGCATTCTTTGCTAGAATAATTTTAAAGGTAATCTGCAAAACACTGTAGATTTCCTGATTTGCTTGTAAAATTATGTAGAAAATCTGAAATAGTAGTAACCTTCTTAGCCTTAGGAAATGAGGTTTATGAGATTATCTTTCTCCGTTGACTAAAGAGCAACATAATCCACTTTTGTGAACCTCCTTGTCAAATGTGACTGAAATTAGCCAAAAGGATAGAAGTCAGATATTCAGGCATGTCCATGTTTTGTGTGTCGCCCTCCCATCTCTATTTCCCAACAAAAATTACACAAAACAATTGAGAATTGGCTAAAAGAGACAAACTGCTTTCCTTCTGCAGCATGAAAGATTCTAGCTACTCCTATAGGTCAGAGCCAGCTGTGTGCTGTGTTACCCACGCAGTTAAGAAGGAAATGATGAAAGGAGCTAGGTGTAGGGGTTAAGGAAGGAGGAATCACAGGCACTGCATTTGGATGGGGGTTAAAGGGTGAATGAAACTCTTGTTGTGAGGAAGAAGGGTCATTTGACACAAACCTGGAATAAACCAGACTAGCTTACTGTTGATGACTTTTTGAGAGTAAGAATCCTCTGAGAGGGAGCCTAGCTTTTTTGGAACAACGGCTGGAATACTGAATTTAGTGATACCAGAAGCAGTTAAGCCTTACAAAATGGTAAGCATGGATTCTATGAGGGCTGCTCTGAGAGTAATGTCCCCTGTTTTATTATACTGGCCCGTGGTGGTGGTGGTGGTCAGCCTCAGCAGAGGTTGAACCTTCTCACCAATATTCCATCCCATGTTGTTGTTGTGAGACAGATGGCAGCAGAGGGGCAGTCTGACACAATGATGTTTGACATGGAGGTGTGTATGGAGCAAAGATCTGTCACTGAATTCCTCCATGCTGAAAAAAGAATGCATCTATTGCCATCCATCAACGCTTAACTCAGGGTTGGAAACCAACCAGTGGATGTGAGCACAGTGAGGTGGCTGGTGGTACATTTCAGCAGTGGCAACAGCGGATCACCTCTGCTAGGGCAGATTTTTATGTGCACAGCATGCAGGCTCTTCTTCACTGCTGGTTAAACTGCACAGCTAACAGTGGTGACTGTTGAAGAGCAGTGTTATTGTGCTCTTCGTGTCTGTTGTAGTTTCCACAGAAATCAGTACAACGCATCGCTTTCAGAGGGATCTACATAGAATAACTTGAAGTAATTCTTTCCTCAGAGGCTTAGCTCTACATGTGTTAGAGCTGTTTAAATATTTTAAACTCACTAAACTTCTTCCATTCTCAATATCCTGGTGATAGCAAGTTCTTAAAGTAAGTAAAAACAACAGTTAGTTACTCTTATGTGAAGCTCGTCCTTTTCATAATAGTTTCAAAGAGCAGAATCCCAGAATGGCTGAGGGTAGCAGGGACTTCTGGCTCCACCTGCCCCAGCCCCTGCTCAGCAGGGACAGCCAGAGCAGGGTGCCCAGACCCACATCCAGGTGTCTTCAGATCTCCAAGGAGGGGAACCTCGCAGCCTCTGGGCAGCCTGTGCCAGTGCTCCATCGCTGCACAGAAGCACAGAAGTGTTTCCTAGTGGTCAGAGAGAGTTTAGCTTGTGTCCATTGCATAACACTAACAAAGTCTGCTTTCATGAAGTGTTTTTAACGTTTCATTGTATCATCATTTGATACGCCCCTAATAATACTCTTTTTCCTTCTTTTTCCATCCCACCACAGGGGCGTCAATGGATGGAGAAGGCAAGCCACGGCCATCTCTCTATTCTTTGCAAACTTTCCAAGAATTGGAGGTAGAGGACTGTGAGAAGATGAGCAACATGGGAACTCTGAACTCTTCAATGCTCCATCGGAGCACAGAGTCTTTGAAGAGTCTGAGCTCAGAGCTGTGCCAGGAAAAAGCATTACCAGAGGAAAAGCCAGCGCATGTGCCTGTACTGAGAAGATCTAAATCCCAGTCTAGACCACAGCAAGTCAAGTTTTCAGATGATGTTATTGATAATGGAAGTTACGAGAACGTTGAAATTCGACAGCCTCCAATGAGTGAACGGACTCGTAGGCGCGTTTATCATTTTGAAGAACGTGGAAATCGACCTTCTCATCATCGCAGAAGAAGTAGGAAATCTCGTTCAGACAATGCACTTAATTTGGCCACAGAAAGAAGATACTCTCCAAAAGAGAGGTTTCGTTATTACTCACCTCAGGATCATGACAAATTTATTCAAAATAAAAGCTCACGTGAGTTTCGGGCCTATATTCAAAATGCAGAGCTGTACGGCCAGTATGCCCATACTAGTTCTGATTATGCACTGAGGAATCAGGCGGTTGATAAATTTTTTGGATTATATGGTGAGGAAGATGACTCCTGGTGCTCAACTTCATCCTCGTCATCAGATTCTGAAGAGGAAGGGTATTTCCTAGGACAGCCAATTCCGCAGCCACGGTCACTGAGATACCCGTACTACACAGATGACCTTTCTGGTCCAACTAATGCGTTATCTGGTTCTCAGTTTGGACAAAGGACAACCAAATCAAAGAAGAAGAAGAGGGGACACAAAGGGAAAAATTGCATCATTTCTTAACTTGTTTTAACAGTTGGGAAGACCAGTCAACTCTAGCTACAGTTTGAACCACATCTTTCTATATTAATAATTGTACTTAGGCAAGTTGCTAAGGTTCTTAATGCTTTGCCAGTTTAACTGATAACCCATTCAGTTTACGCTGTGAAAGTAAAGTAACATTGGGAAATGTCACTATGCCAAATGATGATCTGTTCAGATTTCACTAGGTTTACATACTGTGTTTCAGCTGTCAAAATATTGTTGCTGCGTTCTTGATACAGACTTCTGTAGACTTGACCTTACGCTCTCTATTCACCCACATTCAGTTACCTGAGAGAGAGGATTCGGTGAAGATCAATAAATAAAACTGTCAGTCCTGTACTGTAGCTGTACGTACCCGTACGTGGTGATACTCAACTTCTCTCCATCAAACAGAGGGCTACAGACAGCACCCTATCCTCATCGATAGAACTCATTCTTCCTCTTTGATGTTTCCCTACAAAAACTGGAATTATTATTGTTTTTTTTTTTTAACTGACTTAGGAAGAAGCTGCTTTTCCATAGATTCCCCCATTAAGGTGTGAAAAATCAGACTGTGGGAGCTGAAATGCTTGAGGCCTTGATGCATCCTAAAGCAGCAGTAAATGGTTTACACGTTTAACTTCTATGTTTTTCCTTCCAGTTTTTGTTGTTTTTTAAAATAACTCCATCCTATGTTGGTTTGTGTTTTTTTTGTGCCTGTTAAAAGGAAGATATTAATTCAGCTGTTGGAATTGGACTTGACTGCCAGTGAGCAGTGATGGCTTTTATGTCATTTCCTCTGCAACAAAGCACTGAAAGAGAAAGGTACAAATGGTGGGATCCTTTGCTCAGGCACATAACCCCATTTAAGTCAATGAATCTACTTACATAACAAACAGTTTCATAAGGGCTTAAAGGATTAGGCTCCAAAATTCTGTCTTTTCAAATGTATTATCCAGGTTTTAAAATGTATTAGTTGCAATTCTAAATCAAAAAAATTGCTATTTATGACGTAGTATTTCATAGGCTTAAATGTATTCATAATTTAACAGTGCAAATACGAATGTACATATTGTACAGTTAAGATTTTTAAAAGCTGAATATTTTTATATCCCTGAATTTGAAGAAGTTTGTTACGATATCGAACTAGATTTGTTAGGGGTTTAACAGCAGCATTATGGATGAAATAGTGCTTGTATTTTAGTCAGGGAGTTTAAAAATATTGAAAAATGTTTAGTGCAAAACAGCTTAATTTTGTCTACTAGGTATTGAAAGCTCTGTATGCATGGTGGGGCTCTGTAAATACTCTCCAAACTATGGCCCTCTTAATCTTGCAAGTGTTATTTATGGGTCAAGCAAAATGTAAACTATATAAATGTAAAAACCACACAAGCCTGGAATATATCAGTACAACAAATACCCAACTCCTGTGGATGTGGATTTTTTTTCTTATTGTTTCCCTCTTTTCTCAGAAATCATTTCCATGTTTGCTTACATCAAGGGAGAGACACGCAGGGTTGTCCTAGAAGGCAAGTTGGTAAAGTAGTTGCCTTGAATTCACCTTCAAGGTAAAGCATTGAGAGCAGCTTATTTTAAGGAAAGAGCAGGACTTTGTTACTTAACACTGATGTCTGCCCACTGAAATAGTAAACACTAAAACAGCAGGCTGTCTGACCACCTGAACACAGGTAATTAATGAAGAGATGGAGAAACGGGTGCTTCTTACATACACAGAACTGGCAGATTGAACTGAAGTCATTTTTAAGGATATAAAAAGTTTTGGAGTAAGAGCAGCTAGAAATAAGGGATGGAATGGACACATGAGTATTGCTCACACCCAACAAATTGAAGTTATTGTTACAGCTGAGTTAAAATAGCTGTTACTTGCTTGTCTTCTTCAGGGTAAAATAAGCAGAAGATCCTTTATTCCCAGAGGTGTTATTCACCATACGAGTCCTTTTCTAGTACAAACAAGTCTTGTGTACATGAAAGATGATCAAAGAAATATCATGCTACATCACAGGGGCCCATGGGCAGCTTGCGGGATGCCTCCAGCTGGCAGGCTGCCCTGGTGGCTTAGGCAGCATTTACTTTTCTGGCAGCTAAATGGCGGTTGTGCTTAAGGACATTACAACAGCCAGCCTGCTAAAGACTTCCAGGACTTGAGGAGTGATACTGACTTGTTAGCATTTTCCCCCAGATACTCAAACACGGATTGGGATTTTCCATTCTTAACTGCATTTGCAATTACAGGTCATCAAAATCCTCTGCTACTGCAGTAGGGCTTCATGCAGATACGTCCCAGCAGCACTTGTTCTAAACTGTCTTACACCATCTTCAGAGATGCAGCACATACATACTCTCCCAAAGCACAAAGCCTTACGGAGTATCAGATGATAAACGCTTTCCAATCACTGTCTGTGATCACTTCTTTCTTTTTCTTTCAAACAACGCAACTATTCAATGCAGATATCTAGTGTCATTTCTAAGCTGTCTTCAGAGAGTTTGCTTCCATAGCACCTCCCTCTAAACCTCCAGATAAATGAGTTGAAAGATGACTCTCTTCCCCATACTGTTATTAAAACAAAACAACAAGCCAAAGGAAAAAAAGCAGCCATTCTTTCCAGCCCAAGGCAGGAGCTGTGATCTCTTTCCCTTGAGACTACACTCACTGAAGGTACAGCTGCACAGCACAGTGCCCAGGGAAGCAGTGCTCTGGCTGAGCAGCTTCCTCAGGGCTAGCTTAGGTACCTCAACTTTGAGACACATCGCTCTCCCTTACCAAGAATCACAGAATAGAATCATAGAATTGCTCAGGTTGGAAAAGACCTTAAAGATCATTGAGTCCAACCTCAACCTAACCATACTGCCCTAACAACCCTCTGCTCCCTCCTCCGTTTTTAAACACATCCAGGGATGGTGACTCAACCACTTCCCTGGGGAGCCTATTCCAGAGCTTAACAACCCTTGCTGTAAACAAGTGTTTCCTGATATCCAACCTAAACTTACCCTGGTGCAACTTGAGGCCATTTCCCTTTGTTCTGTCACCTGTCACCACTCACCTGTGCTAGGCTGCAGGGCCACAAACAATTAAGACTATTAGAAACACTTAGAAAATTGTGTTTTCTGAGGATCACTGAGGACATTCCCATCATGTGAAGAGTAACAGGTGCCTGTAACCACATGTAACAAAACAGGCAGCTTTTTGTACTACTACCCAATTCAGACATTATACACTAAGTTTAAAGATGGCTGTAAGATTGTTTTGTTTTTCTACAGCTTGATATAAAAGATTGCTCCTTCGTTATTTTTGAACAGTTTCTTTTGGGAAATGTTTCTAATCCATTCTTCCACCTTAATATGAAGAAAATGATATGGACATGATAGGAAGTGCCCACTCCCTGCACTTGACACAGGTACAGAATGTACATTATTGGAAGGCGTGCCTTCATTGTGTGCGGAGCTTATACCTTCATGATACCAAGAAACGTTTAGGCCACACAGCCTCACCTTCCCAAAGATGAAATCCTGCACAGAAACACAGTCACAAGGAAGCAGTTCCTCTGATACGCTGTACTGGCTCCTCTTCTACCTGCAGTGGCTGTATTGCTGACTTCCACCCTAACTGCTCCACTTGTTGCTCAAGGCTGCCACCTCACCCCCACTGAGAAGACAGATTCATTCATATTCTCTGCAGCCTTAGCAGCTAATTCTGCCCTTGTTTCCTTCCACTTCCTTTTCCCCTTTCATTCTATTAAGGGCATCTGCACATTAATGAGTCCTAGAAGTATGTTGTGTTTCCAAGAGCTCCTGAAGGGACAAAGAACAATTCCTGGTGCACAGCGTGGGTTCCTTCCGTCAGTGCTTTTCCTGCCCCTTTCTAGCAGTCCCCTCGAGGCTCTACAAGAGACCAAGGACAACTTCTTATACCGATACAAAATAAAATTCCTTGTTCCTACAGGAAGCAAGAATAAGAAAATGTAGTTCTTGCTCAAGCGTCAGTGGCGTAACATTTTACTGACATCAGCATCAAGGATACATCACAAAAGGTTACTCATGAACATTTAGCACCATGCCAAGTATTAAACAGGGAAAAAACAGCCACCAATCACTTTCATAGAAACAGTATTTATTAAAAAAATAAAAATAAAAGTGTCTCCTTAGCTCATCAGTAAAAATAAATCAATTAAAAAAAAAAAGAATGCTAAGAACATCCTAGGAAGATGTTGACCTACTGACTAACTGCAAAAACACAACAGTGTTGTAAGCTCTATAGAGAAGCTCTTGCAAAATCAGGTACTTTTAGAAGCCTGATTAAATTTCACTATGAGAACAAAAGAAAGAGACTCCTAACACAACATACAGTAACAATGGACAAAAAAATATATTAAGCATGAATTCACTGTTTTCTTCTTTAGTGTTTCTAACCCAAAGCAGAAGCTCAGATCTACCACCTGAAAACTATCTGGTCCATAGTGAGCCCTGTTTGCGACGTTTCTGTCTCAGAGAACGTTGCCTGTCGTTGCAGGACAAGCCAGGCTGTTGCAAAAAGGGCTGGGTCAGGTCTAGCTGCTGTATCATCACAGGTCACCTTTCTTTCCCATCTCCCACCCCAAATCAGCACCCAGTAGGATCAGTGAGCTTTTCCCTAACCCTGCAGCCCTGACGTTAAAACTAATCAGGCATTTCAGGAATCTGATGGAATATATATTTAATGCACCATATCAAGGTTTGTCTGTGTAAGATGCTGTGGTCAAGTACCTTGTATGTGCAAAATCGCTGCCATTGTATTTACTTTTCTGCAAACCATTTGGCAGTAATCTGAGAAGCTACTTAATAAGGGGCTGAATCCATTGACATTTCCATTTAATACCATGCATATGGGAAACGGTGAGCTTTAGTTGTTGGCCATTTGACAGAATTTCATGTTTCTAAATACACGCATAGAAAACAATCGTTTACTTTTTCTTGTCTATGACTCAAATTCTCCCTCTTCCTAAAACGTTCAAGAAAAACAGTATCACCTTCCACGTACACATACCAACAGTCAGGATACCTACCAGTGCCAACGATTCCTAAGTTACGTTTCATCTCTGCAACGCAATGGCACAGCACTGGCAGTTCCTTGCCTCTACTCAACCATTCTTCCCAGCCGTAAGTCACTCTCTATCAGGTCAAAAATGGCTCCAGATACTACACTACTACAGAATCATTTAGGTTTGAGATAACGCATCTGGGGTCTACTTAGGGTTTAACTTCAAATTATACCTGATCTGAAGCAATTTGGAGTTACTAAATAGAGAGATGGCCCAGACCTCATCTTGGCACTCCAAATTCCTGTGCCTTCTGGATTTCTGAAGATTTACAAGGCTTCCTAACTGTTGCACAAAAAATGGTGAGGTTTAAGGGATAAGAAGGGGAAAGGGTAAAAACAGAGTCCTCTCCTCAGTGTCTGCCTGTGCTTACATTCTGTAAGGTACAGCTCAAAAATCATTACAAAAGAAGACAGTTGCAAACAGTTAACAAAAATTGGATTTAGTTCTACATAATACTGCTCACTAGTAATGATATACAGTGTGGAAAACCAACATATAAAAAGCATTCGCAGAAGTAGAGTAGGTTCTTCTAACATTAAGTAGGCAGAGTTCCTCTGGCAAAGACTAGACATAAACCCTGGTGTAATTTTACAGAATCCATCTGAAATTCAAAATTAAACTATAATAAATAAATTAAATCATAGTTGTGAGCAATTTTACAAATTGTCCTTGCCTACAGTATATATGAACACAGGACATATTTCTGCATAAGCTAAGGAAGGAAGAACATTCTTGTTTTAATAAAAAACATGGTGTTTCTGGTTATGCTTACAAACATCAAAATGCAAGTGCACAAACATCAGACTGAATGTGTTTTGCCAGGTAACTGCATAGCTTGTCACTTTACAGAATTTTTGAAGAAAAAAACCATCTTTTTCAAAGGAATAACAAGTACAGGTAGAAAGAATAGAACTGTGGAAACTGCAATGAGCAAGGTACAGCCATCTGAGCTATGAAGTAGCACAGGCCTTGGCTTCCAATCTTCAACACAAACTCCCCTTTCCTCACAAGAAACAGATGTATGCATTGCAGTGCACGTACTGTATGCAGAGTTCTAACTGTATTTTTGTGTTAGTATGAGCCATCTTTGAAGGATTCTGACATATCTTGGTTGGCAGCATCGTACTGAGCAATGAAATGTTTGAGTTCCTCAATGCATCGCTCACCTATTTCATGCAAATTCTGCCTCAGAGCAAACTGAATGGACTTCTCTAACGACGGATCCTTATCGATCAGCATCTTCACCACCATGCCAAAGGTTTCACAGTCTTGTCTGTACACCTAGAAACAACATGTTTTAGAAAACAGTTAAATATAAGACTGTCTACATTAGCACACCAATAGTCCTCTAAGTCAGGAGCTACTGCATAGCCAAAACCAGAGAGCATTGAATTTAACCAGTCTCAGCTGTAAGAAATATTTGCCTTCTCCTCTCTTCTGACCGACTTTAATACAAACATACCCAGTATACAGGACTACTCGAACAAAAGAAATAACTCTTCTTGGAAGAAATGCCAAAGAAGAGAAAAAGTTCCTTTTGCAATGCTATTTAGTAAGTAATAGCAGAATAAAGTGCAAATGCTAAACCAGAGTTTTGTAAAATGACATGTAAAATGAATAGAACTGTTGTGCAAATTGAACCAGCAATCTCAATCTTCACACAACACTAACTTAGTTTTAAATTTTTCATAGTGCTTTAAATGCAAGTAATATTCAAATGTTTTCACCAAACTATGTTTATTTATTGGATGTCCATCTCTCATAGAAGTCCTTGACAAGTGTAACTTGCAAGTAGTTTGACTGCATGTGTGATTCAACCAATAAGAATAAAAGAAATCTTGGTAGTAGTCCTTCACCTTTTCAAATTCCAAATGAGGTTATTAATCTAAACACCACCAAAAGAGGCACACATCAAAGTCTTCCAACTACTACAAGCAGTTCGGTTTCACACAATCCTACTTTATTTGACAAATTTCCTTTCAGAAAGCACAACAGATTTTTGAAGAAAGGTAAATCAGTTGCATAACTCCACATTTTACAAGAGGAACAAAAATGTTGATATTTCTCAGTATTTCAACATTGCGCTAGAACTTGACTTCTGTAATGTTATGTGAGCTTTTCCTAGCACATTTATCTGTATTTTGCCTGCTGTAGAGAGCCTGATTTGCAGGGGGTTGGACTCAATGATCTCTAGAGATCCCTTCCAGCACCTAAATTCTGTGATTCCATGATATTTTGTGCACAGATGATGCTACTGTATATGAAGGATTCTCTGTATTACAAAACAAAAAGGGGGAGAAGGGGGGAGAGGAGGAAAAGAGAAAAAGAGGAAGAAGAGAGAACAAAAACCTGAACCAAACAGAATCCTCCCACCAGCGCTACCTACTTTTTTCTATTTATCATTGTCAGAAACATAATGATTTAACACAATATTCTTACTGAAGACTTGTCAAACGTTTGACAGTATATTCTATGATGCTGTAAATTTAAAACCAGATCCATTTTTCAAACAGTGGTTAGGAAATGAAAGAAAATCTTTTGAGAGGAACTCATTTTCAAGAGAGATTACGAAGTCAAAAACAACAGTGCAGTCCAAAACAGATTGGTGCAAAACACCTCAAATGTGGAAACAGCACACACGTGGCATTTTTTCAAAGACTGGGTTTGTTTCCTGCTTTATACGTTCAGTTATCTGGTAGCAAAAATATCAGTAAGAAACAGAGATTCTCCCAGAGCTCATTTCCCACACCAAGTGAAGTAGGGCACTTGCAAAGAGAAATTTGAAACAGAGCAAATGATAGCTCCTTTTTTTCCTGATTCTTTCCAAGGAAAAAGCTCAGGAAGAATTGCTGTGTCTGATTAGCCACATGACAGACAGATGGTATTGCATTTTGGAAAATGAAGCCTTTCAAGTGCTTGCAGCAGGCTTCCTATCACCTTCACAGAATGATTTTTGAAAGTTCTTTTTAACCCCAGAGTCATTATGTTAGAGAGGAAATGGTTCAAAAGGTTGGTGAGGTTTTTTTTTCTTACTGCATGTCTATTTATCCTATTCACACCTCCTTCAGACCAAGGATGTGTGAATGATCTTCCACAGGTAAACCGCCCGGATAACCAACAGCCTTCACAGCCTGCAGAGCAACACTGACACCTGTGAGATCTCAGCAGGAATGGAGAACACAGGCAACACTGCCCCATCTCTTATGCTGTAAAGTACCCTGGAACAGGGCCAATGTAAGTGCTCTCCACTCTAAGCTGGCCTTCAAATGAGTGATATTTCTCTCCCGCATCCCGAAGAAACAGCCCAGATGAAACGTTTTGAACCTCAGCATGTAAAGATTGGCTCAGGCTGTGCACATTTTTCTTCCAAGGACTCCCAAAAGAAGCCTGGAAGGAGAATCAAGTGGGCCACCATCACCGTTGGACTCAGAGAAGACACTTTGCCGACACAATGAAGTGGAAACAAATCCTTCGTACAAGAGGTGAATGTTTTCAGCAACATTTCTCTTTTGCAACAAAAGACTTAAAAAATGGAATACCTGACATAGAGGAAGAGGGCAGAAGGTGGGGCAGGAAGGCATTTCTAGCAACAGAAAACAAAGGAAACAGTTCAGCTCCTGTAACAACAATTGAGTAATTTTCCCTCAACAAGCTTTCTAGCCTCACTGCTAATTCTGATGCTCCCAATGCAATCTGCCTCTTCCTCAACTGTGCTAATAAGCCTATTTATATAGCTGCAACAAAAATTGCATCACTGAAATGATCCCTTTTCAAATTACTTCCCTCCAATTAACATGATTCAGTGATTCAATTCTAAAACCAGATGCATCAGCACAAGTGAAGAACTGAGAACCACAGTTGAGAAAGGAAAATAACTTCATAAACCAGACTGTATCTGAATCCAATGCATGAAAACTGTCAGAGAGAAGTTACCGTGCTCTGCCAAAGGGAACTGAGGCTATCATTCACAAGAATATCAATTACAGGAGAACATGAACTACAGCTTAATGCTCTGATGAATTATTTTTAAGAACTGCCAAAGTATTCAAAGTTGCTGCAAATGAAGATGGTGGCCGTGCATATTCATATCCATCTTCTCTGCAGAAGAGTAGGAAGCTAGTACTGGGAAATAAGCAGAGAAATGTTGCTTGAGAAAAGGAAACTGCAGAAAATACTCCAAAAAAAGCTCTGTTAGAGAAGAATACTAGAAGAACTTACAACACAACAAGGTTGCAAAATATCCCCATCTTTAAAACTCCAGCTGATACTGATTTTGAGTTCAAACTGTGGAACATTTGTCTGTAAGCAGCTGGAGCTGAAACCTGAAAATGATTCCATGTGTGGGGAAAGAAGAAATAGTGCTTTTATACTGAAGAGCAAAAATGCAACGATACCAGCAACGCGACCATTCTGTCTGATGTATGTGTCAAGTAACCCTGAAAACAGCTAAAGCCATAGGATGATCATTTACTGAGGCCATAGTGTACTTTCACACTCTGAGCTAAGCTATAGCACCAGCATAATGAACAGAACGTGTATCACTGCAGCAAGCAGATGGAGGAAGAGTAGAAACAGGTGTTCTATTCCTAAATATCTTTTTTTTTTTTAAATGTATGTCATAATATATACCTGTACTCTAAGTACAATTCACCAATGAAGGAAAAGCTGCATTCAAATTATCTCTGGAAAAGCTTTCCAAGGTCAGCAAAACATCTATGAGCTCAGAGGATCACAAAGATGCTTACCTTATATTGCTCACGTGATATTTGAACTTCTTTTCACTCCTGCATGATAATAGCCTAGAAGCTCTGGCTGAGATCAGCCCTTCACTGTGCTAGTCTGTATAATCTAAAAGGGTGTTGCACCCACAGCACGTCAGTGAACACTCTTCCTATATTCGAGAAATCTAAACCAAAAGTTGCACCACTAGGACAGTTTAAATACAGCTAAGTGCCTTTGATCTAGTTAGAACAATAAGGATGTCAGCCCCCAGGTACCTTTTCTGCCCACCAACTGAAGGCGACTGAGCCCTACAACTTTCCAGAGTTAACTTCAAAGCACCATCAACAGTGACTTAAATAACAATTTTCGATGCTGACATGAAAGAGACAAAGGATACTGCAGATTCTCTTCTACCTCAGGGACATTGACCTCTGAGGGTGGAGAGGCAAAAGCAACCACCTAGAGACTACTCATTTATTATATTCTGATGTCCCTTCTACAATGATCATCTAATGTCAGTTTTGACTTAAATCAGATGATGCTTGTGGAATGGCTCAGATGATGTATGAGCACCAGCTCATATCATCCTCTAAACATCATCACCAAAACTTGGTTGTAACTTCAAATTCTGGGTGTGGGTGAAATTATACCTAGGTAGGGAATGCCCTGATGTCATGCCTACTACTCACTGACAGTCTGCATCACTTCCTTTCTATGCCTTGTACAGTATGGTGTACTTCTCCAAAACTATCTAGAGCTGCCCATTCGTTTCGCACAACAGAGCTGCTAGACAACATAAATGAACAGTAATGAGAACAGAAATCAGACAATAAAATTTCCCCTGTTGCAGGAGACTACAGTCTGCAGGAGACTCAGATATTTTGACTCCCTAGTCTCGGAGTCTTGCATACCTGGCCAAAAAGCTTTATTTCCACAATAGAAGTAGACACAGTAATCAAAAGGGCTGTGGAAAACCAGGAAGGTTAAAGTGGAGGTAATCACAAACCTTATTGAAGCCTATGGCAGTTTTCCCAGCTTAGCTCTACATCCTGACCCTCCGTTCAGCACAGGCAAAGGTGAGTTAGGGCTGTGGCACAGAAACCATGTTAAACAGCCTGCAACCCTTAGATACTAACTCACCCTTGAGAAGATCCAGCATGTTCAGCAATCACAGCCCAGTGCTTGTGATTCATGCAAGTAATCACTTTATGTATTATCTTTCAGAAGACAGAAACTACTCTGTTACTAAGGGCACAATTCCCACAAATATCAAATGCTCCATGCAAGGAGAGAAGCAACACACTCCCTGATAGCTATTTGATTTCTGACAAAGGCAGTGCTTGAACTTGCAGAGCACAGGGTTGAAAGCCATACCACATCCCCTCCAGATATCCCATTAATGAAAGAGCAAACCGCCCGAAATCTCTCACTTCAATGAAGCCCCAGGGCTCCTCTGCAGCAGACGGAGGTAACAGCTTCCATTCCGCCAGCTGAACCACGATAGCTAGGTTGGTATAGCCCTCTGGTGGTATCAGTCAGCTTTGTATTTCCCTTCCTCA